GGTACTAATGAGAGCAAGAGTGTCCCTCGGAAGTCCAACGGAAGCAAAGCTGTCCCTTTAGGAGTTTGATAGTAGCACACAACCTACTTGGCAAAAAGATCCCTTCTAATAGGCCACTGAGTCTCGAGGGCTATGAGAGTAGAGTTGTCTCGGAAGCCAAAGGAGCAAGGTTGTCCTCAGTGAGTTGATAGTAGCACACACCCTACTTTGGCAAGAAGATCCCTTCATTAGGCCACCGCGTCTCGAGGGCCGTTCTTTAAAGTTTGACTGGGAAAACACACTCTACTTCAGCAAGAAAGATCCTTGACACTCTTTGAAAGTCTAAGTGGAAGAACAACTCTACATCAGCAAGAAAGATCCTTGAGGCTAGCACTGATGGAAGCGCGAGGTCTATGCTTCAAAAGTCTGAGTGGGGAAGCACATACTCTACTTCAACAAGAAAGATCCTCGAAGGCTCGACTTGATGGAAAGCGAGATATTTGCTCTTCGAAAGTCTGAGTGAGAACACACACTCTATTTCAACAAGAGAGATCCCAAAAGCTCGAACTGATGGAAACGAGATTTGCTCTTCGAAAGTCTGAGTGGGAGCACCACTCTGCTTTCAACAAGAGAAATCCCTCGAAGCTCGTACTGAGGAGAGCGATGTCTGTTCCTTGGAAGGCCAAATGGAGCAAGGGCTGTCCTCGAAGTCCAGGTGGAAGCATATTCTTTTCTTTGGACAAAAAGATCCCTCGAACCTTGTACTGATAGGAGTAAGGGCTTATTCTTCGAAAAGTTGATGGGAAACACACACTCTGCTTCAAACAAGAAAGACCTCGAAGCTTGTATTGATGGAAGCAATGACTGCTTTCAGAGGTCTGGTGATGAGTTACACTTCTACTACGTCAAGAAAGGTCCTTTTAGGTTGGTAACCGAGTTTACTATTCTTCTTTTCATTTTGAAGGGCAACACAATTGAAAACTGTTTCAAGCAACATTAACACAATGAAGATATAATGTAGAGAAAATAACTTCTATATGGAGAATACCAATATGGAGAAAATAATTTCTTTTAACATAAGAAAGATAGAATTCTTGGATAATGCAGTAAATATAATGTAAATGTCATAGATAAACTTTTTTCTACGAATGTTGACATTTGCCCCTTAGAGTTGCAGGTCATTTGGAAAACTTTCACCAACTACTCGGGCTATGGCCGTCAATACCATCATAGCCACGTCTTCTAAGATATCTGGGACCCTGTTCTTTGAACTTAGCCTCATTTGCTTCGACTTTCTTTCTAAGATTTGCTTAAGTGCACTTTTCTGTAGGATGTTTCTAGTGATTGGTGAAAAACACAATAACTAGGACCCCACGATCTCTCTTGCAAGTCTCGGAATTGCGAGGCAAAACTGATTCCTCGTCTGCTGCCTTCTGTTACTAAGGTCTTCATTCCTCAAACTACACGGAAAATGAGTGTCATGTCGCAGTATTTCCTTTCTGACCTCTGAATTCCTCCCCCGTGCGGATTTTCGGGTAGAAGACGTGAAGCCGTAGTGACAGAAGGGCCTTAGGAGGATCTTGAAGCTAGTTTTATAATTAGTCATCGACTCGATCTCCTAACCTTTCTTCTTGGCGAGCAACATGGAGTAAAGCATCTCTGTCTGCGTATGGGGGGCGCAGACATGCTTATATACCCTCTGCGCCCCATATCCACTCCCAGTCATCTCCTGACACGTGGCTCTGCTATCCCATCTGTCAGCATAAACCTTGCTGAACATCACCTAATCCAACTGCCTGCCCATTCTCCTGGGAGCTCGGCAGCCGGGCAATTCCATCTCGGCCATCGTCTGCCATGCTGCGCTTCATGCCCAAGTACTCCAACAGCTAAGCTTAGATGAGGACCGGACTCGGCGGCATCTCGGCAAAGCCGAGCTCGGGACTACTTACGCTTGTCTGCGGTCGACCTACCTGCCGAGCAAACAAGTACCTCGGTTCAACCTTGCCTTTCCTGGTGCTGGACTTTTCACTTGACCGGCTTCCGAATCACGGATCCTTGCAGCTCGTTCAATCAACGCGCTGCCTTAACCGAGCAGCTTCCTTCAAGGCCGGGCCACACAACTTGGCGCAACACCTATTCGGCCCAAATCTGTCTGGCACAACTCTGCCCGGCCCAAATCTGTCCGGCACAACTCTGTCCTGCCCAAATCTGTCCGGCCCAAATCTGTCCGGCACAACTCTGTCCATATCATTAATCTCCCTCTCAATTGCCCCTTAATTCTGTCCGCTGAAGCGTGACTGGGATTACCTATCCTGACCGGGGTTATACTTCCTCGGTCCTCAATATGCAAGATGGTGACCGCACTAAGAAAGCGAGCAAGGTCCGCTCCACGACTTCCTTCTTGGCGAGCAACATCAGCTCGGTCAAGGAACTTCCAAGGTCGGCGAGCAAGGTCCGCTCCGCGACTTCCTTCTTGGCGAG